ATACAGATAAATGGAAAAACAGCCTTTTCCAAAACATTGTCAATGTTTACTTTAATAGCTTTTAATATCAATCTATTAGTGTTTCCTTGTTATTAAAACATCTGTGTGTTATACATTTATAATATAAAATTCTGCCTCATTTATAGATATTATTGTTACAAAAACACAGGTTCTGATTTCAGTAAAAGCATATCAGGTAATCTTAAGAACAGCTAGAAAATTTGGAGTTAACAATTTTTCTTTTAATCTATTGTAGATCTCAAAGAGCTAGCAAAGCAGTCACAAATTTTAGGGCAAAGGTCTAGAGGATAAGGAGAAAACCTAGGGTGGCTAAGACAGTTATAAATTTGACCAACGTTATATGAGAGATTTTGGGTTCATTTCAATCACATCATTCTGAAGCACTATTACATCATTCTATCCTGTGCAGTTGAATAGAATGTGAGGGGTGAGCCTGGCATTTAGATCCTCTTTTCTCCTAGTGGAATCCACCTAAAAATGAAATAAACGTATTTAAACAATCTAAGATTGCTGGAATTTTTATCTACCTGCCAGATGCCAAGGCAAATCTTCTCTGAATAAAGATAATTTTATCTTAAGCCTCAAACTATTTCTACTAATCTTAAAAGCTAATATACAACACTCAATTATAAAGAAATAAACACATGAAGTGATAAATTAACTTGATCAAGAACAAAATAAGCAATAAATAGTAGAAACAGATCCTCAGAGAATCCAGGTAAGAAAAAGATAATTCAAAAGAAATATGCTGCCTAAGCTCAAAAAAACATAAACGACAGGATTAAGAATTTTGTCAGAAAACTGGACACTGTAAAAAAATTTAGGAACTCTAACTAAAAGGTACACTAGTCAAAAAAGAAAACTTAATGTGTAGATTCAACAGGAAATTAGACATGACTAAAGAACGAATTGGTAAACTAGAAGATAAGTGAGAAGAAAATAAGCAACCTAAAGCATGGAGGGACAAATGAATAGAACATATCGAAAAAAGTATAAAAGACATACAGGATATAGTAAAGAGGTAAAAGGGTCTATTATATGCATAATTGGAGAAAAGAGAGATAATAGGGCATAAGTAATACTTGAAGAGACAATGGCCTAGAACTTTCACTGATTGTTTTAGTCATATATTGGGATACTATAAAACAGTGAAAATGAATGGCCTCCAGGTACGTCAGAACAACATGGGTTAATCTACATGTAATATTGAGGCAAGGAAGTCAAACACAAAGAGTACTATATGATTATGTTAACATAAAATGCAAACACAGACAAAATTATATTGCAATTTGAGAAGTCAGAACAATGGTTATATCTCGGACAGAGGGAAAGAATACTGATTTGGTGGATCATGAGGCAGTCTTCCGAGTGTTGACAATCATCTATTTCTTGGTCTCGGCACTGAATACCCAGGCATATTTACTTCGTAATAATTCACATATTTTTTGTTTACTTTATTGTATATATGTTACATTTTACATAAAAGTTTAAAACAAAATAAAAATAATTATTATGTGTTAGTGGGAGAAAAATTATTAATTCAAGAAATAAAAAATATTTTTTCATTCTTTTTTCTTTTTTTTTTGAGACGGAGTCTAGCTCTGTCGCCCAGGCTGGAGCGCAGTGGCCGGATCTCAGCTCACTGCAAGCTCCACCTCCAGGGTTCCTGCCATTCTCCTGCCTCAGCCTCCCGAGTAGCTGGGACTACAGGCGCCCGCCACCTCGCCCGGCTAGATATTTTTTTGTATTTTTTAGTAGAGACGGGGTTTCACCATGTTAGCCAGGATGGTCTCGATCTCCTGACCTCGTGATCCGCCTGTCTCGGCCTCCCAAAGTGCTGGGATTACAGGCTTGAGCCACCGCGCCCGGCCTGTATTTTTTCATTCTTAAATCAAGAATTACATTTTAAGATTCATATTTTAAATATTTGATTATTGGCTGGGCATGGCGGCTCACACCTGTAATCCCAGCACTTTGGGAGGCCGAGGCAGGTGGATCACCTGAGGTCAGGAGTTCGAAACCAGCCTGGCTAACATGGTGAAACCCCGTCTCTATTAAAAATACAAAATTAGCCAGGCGTGGTGGCACATGCCTGTAATCCCAGCTACTTGGGAGACCGAGGCAGGAGAATTGCTTGAACCTGGGAGGTGGAGGTTGCAGTGCGCCAAGATCACACCGTCGCACTCCAGCCTGGGAAACAAGAGCAAAACTCTGTCTCAAAAACATAAAATAAATAAATATTTAATTATTAATAAGGCTATGGATTTTTCCAATTTTCTATTCTTTCTATAATTTCTATAATTTAGGACTTTCAAGATTTTATAAAATGGTCTAAAACACCTTACTTTAGAAAAAAGAAACTATGATGGTGCATATACAGTTTCTCTTCTACTTTCCATTTTTTCTGATTTCCAAAATAGTCAGATAGAATTTGTGAATAATAAAAGCTACATGTGAATGTCTTCACTTTTTCAGAATCATGACCCTCTTTTAAATGGTAATACATGCAAGAAAAAAACTTCTAGCCACAATATTTACTCTAGTTTGGATATAAGGCAGCAAGTAACAAGAGGTGTTCATGTTAAATTATCTGATTAAGTCGAATCCTGATTGTTTGCTTGATATAGTATCCTTGTTGTATAATAATCTTTCTGATGATATCTGTGACCTTAAGTCATATTTGAATGAGGCTTGAAGAAAGTATATACAGTCAAAAACAGTTGAAACTATTTGATAATTTTCACAAGAAAATATCGGTATGCCAAATATAAGTAAATGCACGAAATTATCTTCACATTATTGGGTGTGAAGGCTAAAATCAAGGGGTCATTTCACTGTTTAACAAACTCTTGGGAACAGGACACTTAATCACTTATAATTGAAACTGTAAATAACTGTTGATTATATAAGACATGAATTACTCTGACACTTGCCGAGGGAGGTCTGAAAAAGCATTTATTCAATCAAGTATATGAAAAATAATACCTATCATCCTCAATAATAAATGGTGAAAATGCCAAGAGAAAAGTTATAAGAATTAATCTATATATCTCTGCATTCTTTAAAAATTTACTTTTCAGAAGCAAATCGATCCTCAAAAGAATTAGGAAAAACAAATAAATTCCGCTTTATAAATCAGTCATGGGTAGGATATCACCCACAATAACAAGAGACTTATAGAGGTCGCTCCTTTGTTTAAAACAAGAGTTTATCCACATGCTATTGTTTCTCTACACATTTTACTGGGAGAATTGGAGGGATAGTTTCTATTCTCTGTACCATTTCTCTGGTTATACATGTACCAAATTATTTTTGAAAAATCAAATTTATTTGTGATTGGTTTCATAGAATAATAGTGTTTTCCTTATATCCTTGGCATTTTTGATTAGCCTCCATAGTTCTTTGAGTCACAGAAATTTCTTTTTCATGCTTGGTAATTAAATTATCATATTTGTTTTGACAATTTGAAAATATCTGTTTTAAAATAATGATGGATAAATACACCAAAAATGTACCTTTTATGTAATCTTATTCTTTTAAAGAAGGGTAACTTGCAAGAAAATGAAATTTAAATGTATATCACTATAAGTTTTTTCATATAAATAAATCAATGAATGAGCAAGTGCTTAGACAGACAGTTGAACCTCTGTCAATGGGTTTATCACATCATCTTAAAATTGTTTATTTCTTTGTTCTTCTAGTGCATGTAAGCACTCCATACATAGGAGCAATATCTTATTTAAATCCCCAGGACCTTATACAATATGGTGCTCAGTAACAACTATTGAATGAAACTGAGCCTTAAAAAGTAGTCTTATTCCTAGAATGCCCCAAGGTTGAGGCAATATCTGCTGGATGTGTTTTTACTTAAAATGAAGATTGAAGAGATGTAGAATGGCAATAGATAAGGCTAATGGGACAGTAACAGAAACAAATCTTTACTACATTCAGGCATAGACTATTACCAGACAGGTTAAACATTATATAGTTTCTATGAAAAACATTTTTATATTTTAAGAAAATATAAAAACTAAAGTGGAATTAAAAAGGAGGATCTGTCTGTAGTGTTCGGTAAATGTGGGTATTGACTAAACAGGAAAGAAACCACGACAGGGAGTAGCGGAGGAACAGGACTTCAAGGTATGTGTAAGTGGCCTGTCTACAGAAGTGGGAACCAGAGAGGGAAAAATGACTGAGTAATTATGAGTTTAGAGTGAAATGTCATCAGAATTCATGAGAGTAATAAACCAAGGGAAAATTTCCTTAGTCAAGGCATAATCTAGGAAAGGTATGTTGAGTTACTACTGCTGAGTGATGGCTATGGAACCTTAGGAGGTGCTCCTAGACCTTAAAGGAATTCCCTTTTAGATATTCCATTGAAAGCTCAGTGGCTTATTTCTGCCCTAAACCCCTTTCATCCTCACCTCCTCAATCTGTAGTTGTCCCAAAATCCACAGATTCCTCTGCTATTTTACTTTCAAGTATTAGTGTTCTGGTTTTCCACCTAAAGTTGGACTCACATAAGGATATCTTTTCTTAGGATCCATTTCCAAGTATGTGCATCGAGCATTTGACTTATCCTGTAGGTCTAGGTAGACTCTAATTTAATCTGTTCTTCCACTTACAATCCCTGGTTAAAGCTCCAAGTGAGGTTTTGGCTGCACAAGCTGATGCTAAAAAAGTGCATTGAGTCTAAAAGTACCATGGTCAAGTGAGATTGGAAATTCTCATTCTACACATGCCCAATAATCTGTCTTTGGGGTAATTTCTTCCTAACCCACATTCTTTTCTCCATCAGCTCTGTGCCAATCCTACTCATAACATGCATATACATAATTGCATTTACCGTATGCTTTGTCTTGATTTTTAAAAGTAGTGGTGTTTTGTTTGCTTTAGGTATATACTTATTCTTTTACTCTTATATGAATAAATGTCACTAGATTTTAATAAATCAAATGTCAAAAAACTTTAGTACTCACCCATAGTCTTTGACAAAATATATTTTGTGGAATGTTTCATCCTTTAAGAAATAATTTCTCATAAAACTAATATTTCTATCTGCATCTGTGAAAATAATCCAATTTTTCAGACTATTAAACTGTGAAACAAAATGTAATTATTTGATATTCAGCTCCTATTTTCTTAAAAACATATTATAATAAGAGAAATATTAATGCAAACAAGAGCAAGAGTGAGTCAAGATTTAATACATATTCTCACCTAATTTTAGAGTATTTATTGAGTATTTGTTATATATTTAGCATGATGCTAGGCATTATGGAGGCATGTGTATATTTGAATCCTCCTAATGTGTATAGTTACAGATGTTTGGTAGAGTAGATTATAAATTTATAGAAATAACTATAGTAAAGGTAGGCCAATAAAGAGATAAGAGGACAGTTACTTATAAAACACAAAGACTTCCTTGATGACAAACAGGCATGAACATATATAGCCTATTTAAAAATAAATAAAAATGGCTGAGTGCAGTGGCTCATACTTGTAATTCTAGCACTTTGGAAGGCCAAGGCGGGATGATACCTTGAGCCCAGAAGTTCAAGACCAATACCTGGGCAACAAAGGGAGACCTTGTCTCTACAAAACAATTTTTAAAAATTATCTAGGTATAGTGGTACATACCTGTAGTCCCAGCTACTCAGAAGGCTGAGGAGGGAAGATCACTTGAGTCCAGAAGATAGACAGCAATGTACCCTGTGCTACTGTACTCCAGCCTGGGCAACAGAGCAAACCCTGCCTCAAAAATAAATAAATAAATTAATTAATTAATTTAATTAAAGCAGCTGGTTAATATAAAAAATTTTAACCCCACTTGCAATCAACCAAATGGAAAATATGTTTAAATATACTATTTTTTAATTGGCCAAAAAAATTTAAATTATGTCGTCCAATGGTATGATACAAAGCTATGCTGCAGAGCTGTACTGATAAATGCTTAAGGACTTGCTCTCTGGAGGGAAGTAAAACAACACCACCTCTTTGTAGTATTTGCTGATTTCTGTTTTATAAATACTCTCACCATGGCTGATTGCAAGCTACCAAATACACGTCACTAAACACTCAATTGGGAAGCTATTTATGATAGGCTTTCCTGAGCCAATCTGAGTAGACTCCAGCACACCTCTGATTGTGTGTACTCCTTGAAAAAACATGAATTAAGTAAATCTTTTGTAACACTGATTTGGCAATATGTTTCATTTGCCTTGAAACCATTTATGGCATTTTGACTCAGTAATCTTATTTCCAGAATCTATCCTAAATAACTTCAAATAATTTGTTAGCTTTACACAAATAGTTGTTTGCTGTCATATAATTATGATAGTGTTAATAATTAAATAGTAAGTAAGTATAACACATCTACAGTGTAATAGCCATCATTAAAAGCATGTTTATAAAAGGTAGGAAATAACAGGGATGATGCTTTCTTTATACAATTGAATTTAAAAGGCAAGAAAAAGTGATCATGTGTGGTATGAACACAATTCCTTTTTAAAACCTGTACATAGAAAAAAGAAGTGATAATATATTGATAATAATGGGTTTTGGTGCAATTTTTTCATTACTTCATAACCCAGCACCTAGGAAATATTTGAAAAATATTTATCAATCTTGAATATTTTCTGCTACTTTTCTACATTTTCCAGATTTGTTCTAATATAATCTACTTAGATACGCATTAAAAAGAACTTTCATTGTGCTAGGTATGAGAGAAGTATAAAACCAGGGTTGCTGGCTTGAGAGGATTATGGGAAAATAAGATCTGAAACAAGTAGGAAATAACAAGTAGTGGAAGAAGAGAAAGAGTACAGAGGAAAGAAGGTATGCAAGATGATACTTAAGTTAGAATCGCATTTCCTTAACCACAAAACTTTTTTTAAGATTGAAAGGCTATATATAAGGACAGAAAATAAAAGAACTAGTTCATGGAGAAAAACAAAGTTCAAAGCAAGAGCCCCCATGATTTGTCAAGAGATTAATCTAAATCGCATTAAGAGGTCTAGAGGTTGGCAAACTATAGCCAATGAAGCAAATTTATCCCATTGCCTATTTTTTTAAATAAAGCTTTTTGGAACACAACCATGTCCACAAATTTGTACACTGAGCAGTTGAGACAGAGAATATATGACCCACAAAGCCTATAATATGTACTATCTGACCCCCTACAGAAAAAGTTTGGCAACCCTCGATCTAGAAAAGAAAGTTCAAAATGTAAATATTCCACATTTTTAAACAAAATTCTGTGAAATTAGATCTATCTAATCATTAGAAAACATCTTCTGAAAAGTCAAAGTGTCTGACTTGACTTCTCTAATTTCCCCAGTCCTTTGTGTGAATGTGTGTGTGTGTGCACACATGTGCTTAGTGGTAAATCCACTTAGAAAGTCAAGGCCACATACTGTTACATTAGAATTGGAAGATAGATATAAAATGCTCTAAACAAAATAGAGATTAATTACAAATTTGAATGCATTAACATTATATGAATGGCCAATTCAATAACTGATTATGTGAAAAATTAATTGCCTGCTGGAGTGGAAAACCACACCCCACCACATATCTTCTCTCAGCCCACACAGGTGTTCCATGTCTCCTGGACTTCTCAAATGATTTGGCATTCATATGTCATGGCTTAAAAAGCCAGACACATGTTTTTAACATTCAATTATCTATTCATTCTACAAACATAATAAATGACAATTTTGCATTGAGAACTATATTAGTATTTAGGAATATAGTAAAGAAAGATGGTACTTGACCTCAAAAAGAATGTCTCTCCCCCACTCCCTCCGCCACCAATTTGTTATATGTTACAGGACTCATTCCAAAAAGTACACATTCCTAGGGCAATTAGTTTATGCCTCTATAATGAAATGGACGAATAAATAAAAATAGCTGCTGTTACAATTGATACTGAGAAAATGTGGTTTGGTTTGTAAAAGTATTTATCAGAGCCTTTTGCTTGTACCCAGAATTGCTCCCAGGATGGTGTGGGAAAAAGAGGTTGAGATTGAAAGGAGCAAATTTATTCTGCATAACTAAGTGTATTTAACTTTTGATTCTAACTGGTGACTTGGGAAGTTATTTCTAAAACTTGGGAATGGAGATGGAGGTGGATTTTGGTTAGTGTGAGGATGAACCCTGGCAGTGTGTTGGGGGTCTGGAACCAAAAGAAATACATCATGAGTGAGTAATTTCCATACGCATCCTGACCTAAGTGAGGAATTTCAAAATAACTTGGTACCCAAGTGTAGTTGGTGTCTATACTATAATGACCCTCCATTGTCTCTAAAGCCTGTTACCCAACACAATAGCCTCATATTTGTGCTTCTTTTGGAAAGGGAGACATGTCCACACTGGGGATAAAGCCCTGAGAACCAGGAAGAGACAGGCAGGAGTGGTGATAAGTGATCCAGGACTGACCCTGGAGTGAAAAATGCACTTGCTAGGTGATTGTCAGCACCACCAGGCAGGAATCACCATAAACAACAGAAATGGCACTGGACTCCTCAGATTGTGTGGGATGGAGCCTTGAGTTATTTTATTGGACACAAAAGAAGACTTGGAGACATGGAAACTTTCAGCTTACTATTATAAACCTGATTTTTGTTTTATGTTATGCTTATTTACATCACATCAACCTCCTTCAGTGGGATGCAAGCAGAAGTCACATTTATCTTTACATTCCTCCTGTACCAAGCTTGGTGCATTATAGAGTAGGGGCTCATTAAATTAAGCAGAAAAAGAATTTCAAAATCAGAAAGAAGAGATGATCTTAGCTTCACCGTAGAAGCAATATAGAATTGACTGAGGGCTAAATAAACTACTTTTGTCTAGTTGGGTGTCCCCAACTAAAATAGTGTCTCTAGAGTTAAGACTGGAGAAGTTTGGGAAGTGTGAATGTTGGAGAGGAAAAGTTAGACAGGACTTTTCTGTAGCAAAACCTCAAGCTAGGAAAACAAAGGTTTTTAAGAAGGGGAATATATTTACCTGTTAGGTAAAGAGAAAAAGGTGTCCCTAATGTAAGCTTGATTTATTCTGAGGATCACACACAATATGGGCCAGAAATTTCTGAATATAGCAATACAATAAAAAACACTAAAAACAGATTTTTTTCAGTTTATTAAAAGCATATGCTCATGTTCAACCTTGTGGGATTCTGATATCCTTGGTCTGGGTGAAAGACTAAAATCTATATTTTTATTGTATTTCCCACAACCCATTAAAATTCTAGAGGAAATTTCCTACTCCTCTTGGTCTTTTTAACTTGAGGTCTGGCATGTTTACTGAATTAATTAACAATGTGTTCACCATGCAAAATTGCTCTCTTGCCTTCATAAATTAGAAATTTGTCAATAAAAATACTTTAATGCAACCTATTTCTCACGTTGTTTTGCTTTAAATGAATTCTCATAATACCAGTATTATATATATTGAATACACTTCTCATTCTGCTTGATAAGTAGAAACTTAGAGAATGGCTAAAATAAGGTTGTTGGCTAGGAAAAATACATAGCAAAAAGAGAAAAAGAAAAAGACAAAAGAGTACTGAATAAACACGTTTTTATTATGTTATCAATGACCAAGATGATATTGAAAGCACATATAACAAAAAATATTATTTTTGTGCTTCGGATTTCCAATCTACAGTCATGTTCTTGCACTTACTTTGAATAGTATGATAGATGGATGGATGGATAGACAGATAGATAGATAGATAGATAGATAGATAGATAGATAGATAGATAGATAGATAGACAGACAGACACACGGATTCATAGATGAGAAGAGATAGATAATAGTTTGATAATAGATAGATATATAAACACAGAGAGATGGCTAGAGATAAAGTTGGAGATTTTTTTAAAAGTAAGAAATCTTGGAATTTAAGAAATGCCACACAAAAGTACAAAAGAGAAAGGGAAATAAAGATTTCTTTCAATGTAAAGTTTTTATTTGCTGTTTTACCTTAAAAATAATAATGTCAATTTCTGTCACACTGTCATGTGATTATACAATGAAGTTGGTTTCAGTATTGTCATTCATCTGTTCTAATTTCAGGTATCAGATGTATTAAGCAGTTCAAACTGAGAGTGTAACAGTACCTTTTTAAAACCGTATTATAGATTCAGGGGGTACATGTGCAGATTTGTTACATGGGTAGAGTTTGGGCTTCTAGTGAGCCCATCACTCAAATAATGAGCCTAGTACACAATAGGTAGTTTTTCAACTATCATCCCCCTCCTTCAATTCATTCCCCCTTTTGGAGTTCCCATTGACTATTATTTCCATCTTTATGATCATGTGTACCCATTATTTAGCAGCCACTTACAAGTGAGAACATGTGGTATTTGATTTTCTGAGTTATTTCACTTAGGATAATGGTCTCCAGTCCACTCATGTTATTGCAAAGGACATGATTTCATTCTTTTTTAAGTACTCCATGGTGTGTATGTACCACATTTTCTTTATCCAATCCACCATTGATGGGTGCATAGGTTGACTCCATAACTTTGCTATTGTGAATAGTGCTGTGATAAACATATGAGTTTAACAGTCTTCTAGATAACAAAAAAAATATTTTCTTTTAGGTGGATGTCTAGTAGTCAGATTGCTGGGTCAAATGGTAGTTCTGTTTTTAGTTCTTTGAGAAATCACCATACTGTTTTCCAAAAGAGTTGAACCATTTTGCATTCCCACCAACAGTATATAAGCGTTCCCTTTTCTAGTCATTGTTGC